GTTTAAAAGATTCCCCTAGTTAAAAGGGAAAAAAATAAAAAAAATAAAAAAATAAAACAAGCAGAGAAAGCACTAGGTTTCTGCTATGATAAAAGCTGAGCACACCACCCTGAATGATATTGCAGCTATCATTTAATATCTGATATCTGCAATCTCGTTTATGAGATGTGAGAACAAAAACAAATGAACGTGGATATCTGCTGTAATAAAAAAGGAAATTTTCAGATAAGCAGAAGGGTTGGAAGATGGCATGCTCGGAGTGACATCAGTGGTTTTAGCCTGTAAAGGTCCCTGTCCCTTTGGCAGAACATAATACAGAATCCTGTCTTCAGCATGACTTATGGAGTCGGGGAACATTCGGAGTGTAAATTCCGCGACCAGGGATCTGATTTGACTCTTCACTTTATCAGCTGTGAATTTCTGACAGCTTTCAACCTTATCGCGGAGGTTAAGTAAACCGACAAGATACAGCGTCATATTACAAGATTTAATATCAGGAGAATGAAGATCGTCTTGTTCCTTCTGCTAAAAACGCTGATATTTGCAGTTTAGGTTCTTAAAGAAATACGTATTCTTTTCTCTGGGACGTTGAACACATCATTCTGTACATTTGACCCAGTGTAGTTAGAGAGAAATACTGTATTTCACAGAGAAATGTGAGGTGCCTTAATTTTCTGTTTCACTGGCATGTTCTGTTTACTTTGTCTAAATAATAACTGAGAGCAAAATAATTGCATTTTAAATATGTGAAAACCCTAATTGTTCTGTATAGGAGGTAACTATTCACTCTGCTGTATTTACAAAATTATATATACATGTTGTTTATATACCATTTTCTTTTGGAAAGAAAAATACTCATTCCTTTCATAATATTTAACAGTTTTCTCATAGGCTGTGCTGTGCATATAAATGTTTATTTTTTGGGAAAGTGTTTTAAAATTAAATCGCACTCCAACAAAGTCAAGGCAAATTTTCATTTTAATTCTAACGTGAACAGGATTGGGCCAGTATATTTTAGATTCCTTTTAATAAGGTGATTGACATTTTGAATGAGTTGGAGGTTTAAAAAGATGAGTTTGAGGACTGAAATTGAGTTAATTGCAATAGGTAAATAGATGAACAAATGATTTACTAATTTTATGAATTTCACAAAAACGACACCTGTGAAGTCATGATGGGGGCCTCTTAGCATACGTATTTTAAGCACTGTCCCAGACAAGAGGAGCAATGAATATGCACTGATGTTATTTTTATAAATATAACTAGATAACTTGGAAATACATTCATGGTAATGATGTAGGAAAAAATATTTGTGATATAGATTTCTATCACTTCATTGCTTTCTGCGTTTTTCTGTTTTCACTTCTCAGTTGTAATGTCATCTTCTGAATAACTTTAATTAGATTTATGTTGGAGTAAAGCATTAAAATGCTATTTGCATTTTTTTTTCACGGCAGAAGTCAATAAGGAACAATCTCTCATTTGCCTCCCCGTATCATTGTCTGCAACAACTATACGATTCCAGACTAAAAGGAAAAATGTTCTTACATGAGATCCTGTAGTCAGGTGGAGCAGAACAGATTACATCAAAACTGTGACAAAAGAGGCAGAACTTAAAATTCAGGGGGCGTTCCCAGGTAACTTGCACATAGCCATCAAAATAAAGTTCTTTTTATATTTTATATTGCTCACAGGTTATGTTGTTAACACACAGAGATTATTTTAGTCATTTCTGTACTCCTGTTTATCAGAATTACTTCCTGGGATCACACCGTTCACTCAAGTCATGGTCTAGGAAGAATGAAGAGAAGATATTTTTCTGCTACACCTTAAGCTGTGAACTGGCATCTGTGCTGATAGAATTCTTGGTAAAATATTCAAGTTCCCCAAACAAGCCCCCCTAAGCAAATTAGCGGAATATTCCTGGTTATTGGCATCATTTGCTCTGTATTAACAGCAATCCTGCACAGAAGTATTAAGAGCATTTCAGGCTCAGATCCTCCAGAATGGGGTACAAGAAACATCTCCTTCCAGAGCTTTTATCTTACCTATTCAGCTAAAATCTTGCTACCTTCCTGGCCAAAGTAAATTATTTCTAAGTTCTTTTATCTTAAGGGGATGAAAGTTGTTCAGCTGCTGTTTGGGTTATGGAGTTGCCTCCAGCCCATAGTTACAGCTCCATGAAAATGCTTCTTTGGCGACTTCCCCAGCACTCTTTTCTCCTGAAACCTGTGATTTTTGTCATCCTGTGCATGATCCCTGTGTAGATCTCAATGATCTAATGTCCGATGAAAGGGACTTCCTGAGGTCATCAGTCCAACATGCTCGAGCAGGTTGCTCAGGGCTTTTAGGATTCGGGGGCTAGACGGATCCCAACATCTTTCTGAGCCCTGCCCCAGTGTTTGACCACATCTATGGCAAGTTTATTATTCTTTCTTATTTCGATTGGAATTTCCCGTGTTTCATTTTTTGTCTGTTGCCTCTTGTTCTCGTAGGTCACACCTGCGAGAACAGCCTGGTTTTGTCTTCTGTAATCCCTCCAGTTAGGCAGACAGCAACAAGACAGACTGTTAGCCCCCTCTTCTTAAAGCCAAGCAAAACTAATTCTTTCCATGACCCTACATATGCCCTTGTTTCTGTCCCTAAGCCACCTCAGTACCCTACATGCAGTTCTGTCTGTCTGCCCCTCTGTGTAGCTGTGTACTCCGTATGCTGTGTCTGTAGCTCTGTATTTAGGTACATGCAGGCATTATAGCAAATAGCTGATTCCCTAAAGCAGTGGATATTAAGCAATTTCATTAAGGAGTTTTATAATAACAACTTCACAAAGTCAAACTGACTTTACATGGGCAGCGTCACTAGAAATGCACATTTTTTTTTTTTAAGTACAAGAGTCATGTTTAAAAAGTGATTTTCATACATTTTGTAAATGATTAGTATACAAGCTCATATTCAATTTCTAGGTGCTATTTTCTTCTTTTATAGTGCACATCTTCCTTGGTTACACTATTGGTCCCCATAAGCAGTGCATACAAAGAGGGCAGTGGCAGTCATGTGTTTCACAAATGCAAAAAAATTAATATTTGCTTTTGGAAACTGAGGTTATGGAAACACTATAAAAGAAACATAGAGCAAATGAAAAGAAAAAAAAATAAAATGTATAGGAGCACATATGTTATTAAACTTTTAGGATCTGGAATGAGCTTTCAGTTCCTAAATACCATATTGTCGTCTTATTACTTCTTACTCTTCTTTTACCTGGGTTATTAGAAGAAAACAATGATGATGGAATTCAGAGGATGAGAAGTGAGGATCAGGAGATTGAAAGTAATATCTGCAAGTCTTTAAACATGAAGGCAGCAGAAAGCCAAATGGTTTCCGAACAGGGACATTTCATGGAGTGATTTATCTGATATGGCATTGCCATTTGTTGTATAATTTCAGCCCTGTTGCTATGGGAACCCATTTTACTGTTGCAGTGATTGTTAATCAGGATCTGTAGTTATACCATTTTTACCACAAGGCCTTATATCCTTACAGATTAAATCATGGTTCTCATTGACAGTGGTGTACATCAAACATTATTGCCAGAAATAAAATCTGACCAACCTTCCTGTCATTTTTCTCACCATTACCAGAATTAGGGAGCAGAAGCTTAAGTTAACTTTTACAGGAACTCGAGGATTCTGCCTCGGTTACATTTGTCATGCTTGTGCAGTTCCAGGAAGAAGGGGGAAAAAAAAAAAAAAGCTTCTGCCTTACAGTATAATCATTTTATTTTTCGTTTAAGTGGAAATGAATTGAGTGATCTGGAGTTACACTTTCTACGTACTCCTTCTTTGAGGATCTCTTAAGGTAGAATTAAGGCTTGTGGCCATCTTTACTTTAGGACTCGTCTCTCTGCATTATCAAGAGAGAGAGATTTGTGTTAATGTTAAGGGATTCAACACTCAACGTGCAGATACCTGGGCAGTGTCAATGTTCTGCATCTCTTCAGCCTTCCCTCTACAGCTATCCCTGCGGAGAGGATGTCGGATGGAATCAGGACAAAGGAGGAGTGCTGTGGAGATCGTATTATCCTTTGCTCCAGTTAAAGGAGGACAGGAGGATCAAAGAGCATGGCTTCTCTGGTCCTGATACTGCACTGGTCTTTGGGAGGTGAAGAGAAAAGGGAAGATGAATGTTTCCTCTACAAATTTGCTCTAGGATGAAGAATTCGTCTGGGCACCATCAGCTTAAAGTAACCAGGAAAGGATATTTTGCACGGTATTTTAATATATGGTACTAATTTCTACCAAAACTCATTTAAGTTCTGAAAAAAAGCCGTTGGTCACTTGCAAACTGATGAAATGCCAGTACTCAAAAGTCACAGAAAACTTGAAAAATCACGTGAGAATTCACCTCTATGGGTTTTTTAGGCTGAAATGTAGCGATGGCCAAATACGTGCCAATACTGCTCATTGTTCACCCGTGATCAGCTTAATGGAATCATTAAACAAAATGCTCATCTCCGAGCCCAAACTGCTGACCTCTAATGGCAGAGCTCCAGTTCTTCACTGCCCCGGTCAGCTCCTTTAATTGAGCAATGAAAAGTTGTCAACACAAAACCCGTGATCGATTGCGAGATGAAATTATGTGGCTCACATCCTATGAGCACAGACTGGGCCGGGGACTGTTTCCATGATTCCTCTGTTATTTAAGTGGAGTTTTGGCAGAATTTCTCAGGTGCTAAACCGGACGGGTGCAGCATCGCTAGCGCCGTTCCCGGATTTATGCTCAGCTGACAGTACATCACTCAACATGATGCGATCAGGTAGCGTTTTGTATGATTTCTCACTAATAACCCAGGTTGTTAGCGTCTCTCCCGATGTGCCAAATCCCCAGCTTCTCTAATATCAAGTCAGCCCCGTAGAGCCAGGAACAGCTCTGTCACAGCTTTGTTTTCACTTCATTGTATTCCGAGTACGCAGAAGCAAAATATTAGCGAGGTGCTAGCCACGTTTTCCCGATCCCTTTCCTGATTTTCTTTCTCCCTTCTTTTTCCTTCTCCACGTTCGCCGCTGCCAATACCCAGCCCCCACTATAATTCTGATTGGCTAAATTAATTCTGCAGCATCCTGCTGTGAATAATTATGTTCATCCAGTGTGGAGCTGGATGCCTTTCTCTCCCCCCCCTCCTCCTTGCCTAAATTATAATGTGACAATTGAAGCTCACAGCTGGCTCATCAGAGGTGGCCAGTTTGGGAATTGGCACATCTGAATGTGCCTCTCCGTTAACTCCCTGCCTTGATTGCTTAAGACAAGACATATGTAAACCCCATGATTATTACCATTTTGTGCGTTTCACAAAGATACTGCTTTAAACTGCAAAGCTGTTGTGTTTGCTGGGGGAGGGGAAATTACAGGAATTTTTCTCTTCCCCTCCCCACAGTTCCCTCCAACAATAAATAGCTGTCAGACTTATGTCAAGAATGAAATTATAGGAGCATATGAGGCCTTGATTACATTGTTTTGGATAGATTGCTATTAGCATACTGAAATGAAGTCTAATTTTTCAGTGCTTTAGCTCAGTCAAGAATCAAGTGACACGGGGGGAAGGGATACCATCTACAAGAAGGGAGTGATGCAATTCTGCTCAGCCCTTCTCTAGCCTGTTTCTGTTATCAGTGGTTAACAACAAACAGTGAAATAAATAAATATATTCTGCTGAGATGTGTTATTAGTTGGGAGGTAAGGCAGGGCTGGTGTACTAGCGAACAAAATCTTCGGGTCAGATGTCATTCTTTGTGAACTCATTAAAGGCATCTCCAAAACAAATCAGAATATATTTAATCCATCTTCATGCAGCATCGAGTTCACTCGATACGCTTGTATTTTATCGTTGAAAATATACTGGTTTTGTATTAGTTGTTTGCATAATTCATAGCACATTGCCAGTTTCGGCTACTGTGCATCCTCTGATGATGCATGCTTATTATCCCATAATGTGCAGGGCAAGTGCCCTTGTTGTGGTTTTGTTGTTTACAGTTTCTGATGATGTGCACACATTGCTTGCTTAGTTTGGAAATCTTACGTTTTGCATTCCGTGAGCGTCCTAACCTTTCCGTGTTTTACTATCTGTGGCTCCTAAGCTGGTACTTTCGTTTGACACAGACACATTGCTTTAACTACCTCTGTTTCACTGGGCTGGAAACAAATAAAAGTTGTTTTGACTGCTTCTTGAAACAATCAACCTGGAGTTTGGAAAGGGTCAAGATTCATTTGGGTTTAGCAGGACAGCTGAGAGCTGCAAGGAGCGATCATGAGCCATTCCTGATGATGCATAAAACTTCCCCTGCCCAGGCTTGGTTGGCAGCATTGGCTCCGAGCAGCAAGGTTCTGGGTGAGAGGCACGAGAAAGGCTTTGTATCAGAGCATCACAAACTTTCTGGGTCACCCCGACCCTACAGGAAATCAGTAATGAAAAGGTAGACGTTTTATCTTCCTAATTTGAGATGCTGGATACTTTATTATAACTTAAATTCATACGACTGCATCAGCCGCAGAGGGACAGGGTAATTACAGCTAATTCCATCTGAAACATCCCTAAAATGAAACAAAATACTTTGCTTATTCATTAAAAAGTCAGCTATGGGATCCAATGTTTTGGAGACCTCTTTATACCCAAAGAAAAGACTTTCTTTTTTAGAAAGCACTCATACATTCCCCCTGTTGGTAAAGCTCTGGGTCCAGTGGCTCATGCAGCTCAGGCTCCTGCAAATGCCAGGTGTTTCCAAGAGCTCTGAAGGTGCTTAGACAAATTCAGAGGAGAAAAATCCATGACGAGCTGTTAATCAATAAATATTGCTTCTGGCTAACAGAGGCCTTTAGTTCAGATATCTGGAAATGAGAGAATGTATGAGGAAATACCACAGTGTGCTTACACTGATGCATTCTTCCCTGGGCAACATCTGAAGCACTGTCAAAGAAAGAGAGCAAGATGTGCCTTTGGTCAGATCCAGTGTGGGTCTTCTTACAATATTGAATATTGACCATATAGCATTTTTGTTAGTGTTTACCTAGTGTTTGTATCTGTTCCAGGTGCTTGGAATTAAACTCTTAAAGCTTGGCTTGGGCTTACACAGTAGGTCAGACTTTTTTGAACATTTCTGTATAGAGATGAAAAGACAATTTGAATGACAGCTCTTACCAAAATAGATGTTATTCATTTCCATGCTTTAAGTGATTTCAGCTGCTTCAGTAGTAGATGCAGAGATAGAGAGAAAAGGGAGAGGAAGGGCGTGTAAGATATTTAACCAAAGGGCTCTCTGGGTCAAAGTCCTCCCCTATGCCCAGTGCTCTCTGTGAGTGTGGTCTCATCCCTACATTTTTCTAGTGAGGTGGTGAGAGGCTCCATCCATGATCAGTCAGCTAACTCCCTTCCTAATCTTGGTCTATATTGGGCAAGGGGCTCAGCCACACTGTCCTGGGCTGATGGAGGAGTTGTGAACCTTAACAGGAGTCTCCTGAGAGCCTGGACCAAACCACAACCACCTCAGTTCTTGCCTCACTACATGCCTTCAAAACAGCCCTTGGTACTCAGGTGGTCTGATTCAATCTCCTGGTGTCTCACTGGACCAGCATTAGGTAGTATTTATTTCATAATTTCTAAGCTGTCTTGGCTAATGATATTTCTTGGGGTCAAAGCATTGAACTTAACACGTGAAAATTTACTGTGTTGGGCTCGAGGAACATATAAGATGTTCTGTGGCTTATGGCTTGGAAACCACATCTCTACTGTGTTTGACATGGGAGCCATGGGAAAAATGAAAATAATGCAACATGGTTTGGTTCTGTGTTTTGCCTGAGGTTTGCAAAGTGAATGCAGTAGTTTGGAAATACACCTTTTGTATCCATTGTAGTGAATTCTTGATTTTTTTTGGTACAACTTCAAAAAGCATGTTGTACTGTCACTGTATTGGTTTACTAAGAAATATCTCTCTCACAGTTAAGTGAATACCACTTTTGAAACTGCTGTATGAGAATGTCTCGAAATGACATAAGGGTAAAACAACTGAAGTTATTGTTACAACAAGCAAAATTTATGTTCTGTTGAAATCAGAGGAAAAAGCAAGACTGCTAAATGGAAAAGGACAAATTCACAGAGAAAAACAAATTTGGATTTTATATGGCAAGACAAACTCAGTTAAGAAATAGAGATCACAATGTTATTAGATATTTAAGAATATTTTATTATTTTAAATATGGTTGTGTCATTTAGAAAATCCTCGTCCAATGAATAAAGAGTCTTAAAAATTCCACACAACATTCCTCATCTCTAAAAAACATTACAAATATTTTTTAAGGGCTAAGCAACATTTTTTTGCTGAACCATGACTTTGGGGATTAATTCCACGGAACTGTTTGAAACTAAAATTCTTCTCAATAATGCCAATGGAGCCACATTAGCCATGCTGAAGCTGATGGGAGTGGTGGTTTTGATGATGGTAGGTATCGAAGGCTGCTCAGTTTGAATAAAGATTTCACAGTCTAAGAAAGCAAAACAGAATTTGTAGGTAGAGACAATGCAAGTTTTCCTGCTTCTGGTGCCTGAATTTTGAATTTCACTTGCAATATGATGTGAATATTTTGTATGATTACTTCTTATGAAGTCACTGGATTTACAAGTGTAGAAGAAGTTGATCACGCTTATAAATCTGTTAGACATTTCAAGTGCTTCACAAAAAAAAGTGAGAGAATGCAAACTCATCTTAGTATCTGCATGACTTAATAAAAGAAGCAAATGATGTGCTAACGCAGCCAGAGGGAAAATTGTTATGTCACTTATTTCCTGAGAAATGTGAGTTTCAGTCATAATTAACTCAGCATTCATACACTTCTGACAATACTATTGATTAGCTAATCAATGATAACTAAATACACACCTCTAAATTACATAGTTTAAAACACATTACATTATATCAATGGAAACAAACCAATTAAAGTACTTTAAATGCATACAACTAATCAGGAATTTAATACATGCTAATTGTGACCAAAATTTCAATTAATGTGTTGATACATTACATCATATTCAAGGGCATAAAAAAACCATGAAGTAATCATGTTCATCACGATCATATCAAATGATCTCTGTAACAAACTATGAAGAAGCAATAGCAATTTTCTGTCATTTCTCAACATTTTCTGGCTATGCATACAGACATCACCTCTTTCTGCATGTGTACAGTGCCTGGTTTAGTTTGTCCCAGTTCTGGGGAGGTCTCATGCTGATATTGCCAAATCAATTTCTTTTTAAAATGTTGTTTCTATCATCTTTTGCAAGGCATGGTTGAACATTTTAATGTGTGATGAGAGATTAGTGCCGGAGAAGATGAGATGGTGAATTGTGAATGGTGATGCCAGGGTAAATATGCTTGTGTGGACCATCTTTTCTCTCAGTAAAGTAAGATTTTGTTCTGAATTATTATTTGGAGAGCACTAACGCATTGCAATTTTCTCTTTGGAAAATGATTTGCTAATAATAAGAATTTGTGTCAATATCCCTATTGTTGCCTTCCCTTTATTTTACTTGTAAACTAAGGGAAATGTCTTTAAAAATACAAAATTAGGTAAATATTAAGTATGTAACTTGCAAAATTAAACAAAAATTGGACACTTACAACTTTAAAAATATCTTTCTGAAGTGATTAGTGTAAAAATAACCAGTAATGGCTCAGTATCAACTTGATACATATCCAAATAGGTGGGAAATACATGGGGGAAGTATTGCCAAAGATCCGAAGAGCAGCCAAGAGATAAAAATGCACATTAGGGGTTGAATTCAGTTCAAAGTTAATACACCTAAATTCTGATGTCTCTAAATGCTGCTCGCATGGCGCTGGTGATGGCTTTCCCAGCTCCGGGCTGGATGTGGTGTAGGTAGACACAAGGACATGGAAATGGGGCTATGCAACTAATTAATTCCTTGTACTCATTAACAAATCTGATTTGAAGAAGGTTTTGATGACATAATTTAGAATTTGCCTGTTGAAAACAAAGGAAACTAGGAAAAAGAAGTCCTTTGCTTTACAGTCAAGTAATGTAATGTCAAGTAAAACATTTGGGGCACCTCTGGGAAGACACAAAACAAGAAGGAGCTGGTGTTTGCCAAGAGTGTAGGGACTTGGGATCTCTTACCAGATGTGAGAAAACCAGCTGTCAGCTCCCTCATTTGGCTAACCAGATTTTAATATATTATTCCCCCCTTCTAAAAAATTCCCTTAATCACCAAACAGTATAGGAAACGTATTTTTTCAGGTAATGGCCTTGATATGTTGTCCATTGTAAGTAAAGAAATAGTCATTGTAGCTGGGCGGTGAAGCCAAGTGTCCCATTTCCAGAGGACTGCTTTAAGTGTCCCCAAATTAATTCTAAGGTATGGTTTTCAGTTATCCACTGCAACTACAGGTTGCTGCTAGAAGAGATTATCACTAGATGAGCTAAAACACATTTTTCAGTGATTGTACTCATGAGAATTTGCTGGTAAATGGTTGGGAACATGAAAGCAAGCCGGAAAAGAGCTTGAGATGCTAAAGATGTGTGGAAAGGTAAAACGACAGCTGAAGCACACATAAACTGTGAGAGGTGTACAGAAAATACATGAAGTGCTAGAAGTTTTGTCATAAAATGATATTGTTATTCCCTGTGCTTGAAAGTTGCAGGAGAGTAAGCAATGTGATCCTGTTAAAATATAAAAAACACATAAAATAAGGTCATCATTCTGCCCTACTTGCCTGGTTGGAGTACCGTGTTCTATTTTGGACACAACTTTTTTAAAAATAGCACAAATGAACTAGGTTGACTCTTTGTGTAATCAATAAATACATTGAATTTGGCAGAGTGAAGCCTAATAAGAGATTTCAATAAGATTCAAAATGTTCTGCCTCAGAAAATAAATAAATGAATAAAGGTGAAAGCTGAGGGACTGCAATCAGCAAAGAAGGCAACTTTTCCACTTAATGAATAACAGAGCAGTAGATAAAGCAAGCAATGTTCATTTCTCACTTGGCATTCGGAACACTTAACAGCAGTTTAATCTTCTGTATCAGTTCTGTGCTTGTTTCACAAGAGCCCGTCACTGAGCAAGGCACAGCAGAAACTCACAGCTAGGACTGGAAGAACTGATGTTCATGAAGATGTAGGGTAAATGCAGTTGTGCTCTTGTACTTTGAAGATTGGCAAGAAAATTCAGCCCTCTGTAGAACTCCGTAGCCCTCGGACAACTCAGCAAGATTAAAAAATAAGGATCTAACACACTTACTGGAATATCAGGTCCAGTCTGAATATTCTTTGAATGAACAACTACATCCTATACTTGATTCTTCAGATTGGGCATGCTCAGATGTTGATTTTTTAACACTCATACGAGGGAACTGAGAATTGAGCCCATTTTGCTTGCCCCAGAGAAAGGCATTCACAGACAAAACTGCCTGGGGGAAAAAAAAAAAAAAAAAAAAAAGAAGTTCGAATTTATTTTGTAACTTGAGATTATTTCAGGACTATTGCATCCATTGTGTTTTTTCCAGGGAAAAAGGGCAGCTCTTGAACAGCAGCCCTTGCATGGAAGGAAGGATCCAGCCCATCAACACAGTATCCTTTAACAATAAATGCTGGAGTATCAAACTTGAGGTGATGAATATTCTGGTACATAGAGTTCCAGGAAAGACTAAATTCATTGAAAAATAGTTAACAGGGAAAAAGAACTATTTTGAACAGTGGGTATTCAGATAACATAAAAAGAGATAGAAGACAGTGGTAAGGGTTTCTCTGAAGAACTGAAAATGTCAGTCCTCCCAGCCAAGCGAGGAGGTTAAATGTGCCTGTTACAAGGTCGTGCAGAGTACAGGAAGAAAAGGCAGTCTGTTTTTTTCCCTGTCTATAGAAACAGATCTCTAAACCCTCCTGTGTGAGGGAGACAAGTCTGGAGTTGTTCACTTATGTTTACTGGTTTCCTATGAGCATCGCCATAGGGTCATACCAACGCTTTCACATAATAACTTTGGTTCACACTGCAGAGGCTGAAGAGCCTAGCAGAATACTTAAAAACATCAGCCAGCTGCTGATAACTATGGAAAAAAAAACACTGAAATATTTGAAAAAATGAAACATTCTTGCCCATCTCCCCCAAGAGTGAAAGCAAGTAGCTTCATTCTTAGGTGTAAAGAGGTGGTCAAGAAAATTTATGCAAGAAATCGCCATCTGTTGCAGCAAGCAACAACCCCTGGTAATCCAACAGTTTCTATTTCTATTAAGCATATAAAGAGAATTCTGTGATCCATGGCAAATAGGTACAAATAGATTTGAAATGCCATCCATGAGAACAGCAACGTTTCCAATAGTAACAGAACCCAACGAAAAATAAGCTTCCACGTGAACTGAACAATTTGAGGAACTGACTCAGAAGGAGCCAGATTGCTGCTCTGCACGTTTTAATGGTCTCAAAACCTACTGATGTCTGTTTTGCACTACAACATAGATGTCTAAATAACTACCAAAAATACTCCAGATTGTTTGAGGAGATGCTCTGAATGATATATTTCGCTGTGATACTTTTAATTGCTGGTAGTTTCAGAGAAGACTTCCAAGCTTTTCATATAGGAAACGCATCCTTTCATTTATATATTTTTTTACATTTACCCATTTCAGACCCAGGTGACATTCTGTGTAAAACTATAAAAAAGGTAGAAGTACATAACTAGGAAATGGATCTCTGAAAACTGCCAGATGATCCATGAGATTTTCTCCTGGGAACAAATAAAGGAAAGCATGAGGAATACAGAACTGCAGGCTGGCAGGGAGGCATCATGAGGTAAAAGTTGTTCAGCTGGGAAAGGAAAACAAAATTACAGTATTAAAACCAGTGAAAGAGAAATAAATGAAAATGATACGCTTCTGTAATTAGAAAAAGGAGATAACAGTAAAAAGATTTATGATAAATATAACCAGAGGAGGTTTTCAGCAATGGATTTCTAAAGTTAAATTCAAAAGTTTGATAGCATTTTCCAAAAACACTGAATTTCTAATACCACCTGAGCTGATTCAAATCAATTCTTAAAGTAAATAGAAATTAATCATCTCAATTAAGTATGTGGAGTTAAAATAAAATCTTGTTTGGCTTCAATTTCTTTTCATCTCGTGAAAATGTGAACTTCTGACAGGTGTGTCCTGACACCGTAAATAGTGTTTCCGTGAAGGTGGCGATGCTCAGAGCGAGACTGCCATCGCTACAACTCTTCAGAAGTCCTTCATGTTGGGTGCACATCATGCAATAGGTTTTTAAGTTTTGAGGACAGAGAATCTCCATGGGATTTAGACAGATGGACAACTCTGTTTTTATTTGGTTTCACTTTGCAAGTTTCTGACTGTTAATTTTGCAAAGATGCAGAGGTTGCACAGATATATGTAGTCATCCACAAGGTCAGAGAAATGTGTTAAAAGAAGCAGAAACATGAACTGGCCATGTATACAATACCTGCTGGAGCAAATCCCAAAGTTTCAAGGTCTTTTTTGCTTGGTATGAACAATGCATTCCAATTTTTAAAGGAGCAATACAGCTTGTTTCTTAGAAAATAATGTTAAAGCACGGGTCAAACTATCACATTAATTACCTGGAGGTCATTTTGAGAAAATTACTATCAAATGTATTGAAAAAAGGTTTTATATTCTCGCAGAAATTATGATCTGCTGTTTCTATGGAAACTGCGACAGTAGTTCATAAAAGCTCTTTAATGGAGGTTTACAAAAGCCTAACATCCCGAAGTCTAGCAACGTCTACAGAAAAAAGCTCGCGCTCATACACACATAGGGCTAATTCCACCTCTGATGCAACTTCTGGTTTCAGCCCGAGTTACATCAGGCGTGAATTGAGTCCATAGCATTTAATAGTTTTCTAAGATCTAGGGATAAATATTATAAGATAATATTTGAATTCTAATCCTCAAGTCTTTCTCCTCTGTTGGACGCACATGTGCTGGCGTGCTGTCAACCTGATGAAATGGAGCAAATCTTTGAGGAATAGAACTATTTAAAAAGGAACGTTATTTCAATCTGTGGGACATTCTGGCTTTGGGTTTTATTTTTATATTTCCGTATTCCATTAACTGTGCTTTTCTGGGGGCTTCAGTCTGGAGCGAGGCTGAACATTCTGCTCTTTTACACACGCTTAACTTTAAGCACGTGAATAGTAATAGTTGCTTCAATGCATAAAGATAAGAAGATGCTTAAGTGCTTTACTGGCTTAGAGCCAGATTGCTCAGCTCCCAGCAAGAGCGTGCCCAATATCAGTGATTAATAATAATGAAAACTAGAATTTGCATTTTCTTAGATAGTTTATTGATAACTACTCCACAATGAATATTCCTTTTTTCTACCATGTACACACACAGTCTGTTTCTGCACTGAGATATCATTGTAAAAAATTTGTTAAAGGTCTCTTTTTTATTGGGAGGACGAATAAATGTGAATCTTGTGAAAAGGGAAATGATGTGATATTTTAGTTCAAAGAGCAATCAGAATTATTGCTGTGATTTGGGAAGATTCAAAACATTGTTGATTTGCTGACAAACCTGTCATACAAATCTTAAAAGCTCAGGAACAGTCCCAGGAAAAAAAAAAAAGTGGAATAGTGGTGAAGAAGAGGCCATGACAGAATTTAATGGAAGTGATAGAAGCTTCCTTATAGCATTTGCCTGCAAGTATTAGTTCTGTATGATTTTTCTGCTTTCTGCTGGGACTGCTTAACAACTCCTGTTTGTTTAGGGTAATGAACGACCTTGTGGAATTGAACCACAGGCTGTGCACTAACTATCGAATCATTAATATTTTTCTGTTCGTGTTTGCTAATGAACATGTAAGCAATTTGGGATGGACTTAATGAAAAAAAATTGCTCATCTAGATAAAATATTTTGGGGGTGAGCTAAATAGTTATCAGATGAATAGGGTGAGAAGAGAATGTGTAAAATTTGTGTGCAGGATTAGTGTCATTTTAAAAATTAGTGTCATTTTGAAATTTCTGTGCAGGATTAGTGACTGGGAGCCCGTGCTTGGAGATGGTGAATAATGATCTTGGGTGCCTGGGGTTTGGTCAGTTCCAGCCGTGAACTCAGTTAAAGGAACCTGGGAGACCTTACTGGTTTCTGTATTAGGCATGCATTAGGGAACACGAGTAAAAAACTTATACACATTTAGGAGAATTTCCTGAAATATTATTTGCACCAAAGCTGTCACTTTAGTTACATGATTGACTGCCACAATGGGCATGCCAGACTCTCTGACTGCTCAGCTGTTGCTGATGGTTAATGCAACTCATGGTTTGGAAGTGCTCTGAGAAACCAAGCAGGTGCAGCAAGGCAGTCAAGAGTCAGTAGAACCAGTACCGTGCTTTTATTGGTTTTACTTTTAGAATAAAGCAGGGCCACAAGGATGATCAGAGGGCTGGAGCACCTCTTCTGTGAAGAAAGGTTGAGAGAGGTGAGGTTGTTCAGCCTGGAGAAGAGAAGGCTCTGGTGACATCTCATTGTGACCTTTCAGTACTTGAAGGGGTCTTATAAAAAGGATGGAGAAGACTCTATACTCGGGTAGATAATGATAGGATAAGGGGGAATGGTCTTAAACTAGAAGAGGATAGATTCAGATTAGACATTAGGAAGAAATTCTTCACTGTAAGAGTAGTGAGGCAGTGGAACAGGTTGCCCATGGGGTTTGTGGATGCCCCATCCCTGGAGGTGTTCAAGGCTAGGCTGGATGGGGCCTTGGCCAACCTAGTGGGTGGCATCCCTGCTATGGCAGGGGGTTGGAACTGGATGGTCTTTAAGGTCCCTTCCAACCCGAGCCATTCTGTGATTCTACGATAGAAGAATAGAGAATCATAATTCTATGATTAAATTGAAGTCCATGACAAAAACACCATTATCTTCGATGAGAACATCATTTGTCATTGACTAAAGTGTTTTTTCTCCATCTCACTAATTAAAATAAAACAATACTTATAAATGCACAGTAAATATAAATGAGCTGTGTACGTAATAATGATACTAAGTATTTTCATTTGTCATAAGAACTCTGATTATAGATTTTGCTACAGCCTTTTTCCTGTCGAGGGTCCAAGACTACGATAGATACACAGGAGGACCTTTTAATTTTAATTTTAACAGAATTTTAATTTCTATTTTGTACATTCACTTCAATGAATCTTTGCATGGTTCTCTATCTGCAGCTCATCGGTCACAAGGCTCAGATGTTGTCAGGTTAAATAGAAAATTATTTTCTGTCTTGTCTACTTCACAACCTAGCTTCCTTGTCAGTGTTCTGTATTGCTGTACTATTCCCATAATACTTAGAAACAGCTCATTTTAATTAAATAAAAATAGAAAATTGAGTTCAAAATTAGTAATTCTTAAAATTCCTTAGCCTATTATTTTAGGTGTAGTGTTTAAGATTATGTTAGTATTGTAATATTTAACTTGATTAATTGTTTCCATGGAAGGAATGAAAATACTAGTAATTGTCATAAATATAGAGTTGACAAAAATAGATCTTTTTTCCACGAAATCCCTAATTAAATATTGGTAGAGAATGTGCGATCTTAATTTGCTTTTTGATGCCTGATATCTAAGGAATGAATATTTGTCTCTTAGGTACTTTCACTCTATCAGTAAGAAGAAAAACAATGAGCAATGCAGTTTAAATCTTAGTAACCTGCTTCAAAATTTGGCTGTCCAACACCTATATAATTTCATTCCTTGCAGCATTGCTGAGAATATTTATTTAATTAAATATCATCTGTTTCCTCATTAATACGTGGTTCTTCTTGGCTATTTTGTTGTTTCCTTTGTGCAGAAATCATCCAATAAATTTGCATCAGCCCTGATGTATTTTCTTCATTAGATGCTTGGGATGATGAGTCCCCAGGCAGGCCTTAATTTGATTTACGGTGTACAAAGAATTGAACCTTTTTACAAATTAAAAACAAAATGAAACAAACCATAACCTTCACCGAAGCTCTGAGGAGTGCTACCATTTGTTCTTTCCCTTTTGAACAATCATGCAGAGAAACTGCAGTGGTGCCATAGCAGACTATTAGGACAAGTTGCATAAAGATCATTCTAAATCTGTTTGTACTCCATTAAATAGTCCTTACCAAGGCAAAAAAAATCACCAGCTTAAACCAGAAACTTCATCTTCCTTCTGTTGGGAGTATGATTTATTTAAAATCTTCCAAGTTAGATTGTTGAGCAGGGTGTTACTGGGCTTTAAGGCAAGGCAATCCTGTGCAAGAGTGAGCAAGTGCAAGCAAGGTTCAAAGCTACATGTGCTTGAGAAAGCTGAATGAAATATTTTGTAGGGGCATTAGATTGTTGTATGCTATGCAAATCCACCACTTCATTGAGATAGATCCACTGGTAGTGGATTTTCACAGTTACTTTATTGAAGAAAGCAACAAATTTGGAGGCTTTTGCTTTAAATTCCAGATAGAGACGTACCAAAGGAAGAGATGTTGCTCTGAGCAAGCCAGGATCTGCAATCAAATTCCAAATTGCAAATCAGGGAAGCTACTGGAACTCTTTAATTAGATATATATTTTTTTCAAACGTGGGTAAAACATGACATTTTTTATCTAAAATATATTTGGAGAGTGTCTGAGTTAAAGCTACCTGGAATTTATAATATTTGCATAGATACAGACATCGGTCTGGGACAATTTTCTAGCAGTGGAAGTCTGGCAGTGTTATAGGCAATGTGAAACAAATCTACTGTGAGCAATGGACGAGCTTAATTATAAGTGTATTAACACTGCAGCTAACATGCTGAGTTTCTAATTGAAAAAATCATGGTCATTGTTTTCATATTTTCCTCGTAATGAATGATTCTGATTTCTCAGAGTGATTTCTAATATTTTGCCACTTGATCCTAGTTTAAAGTGTGGTCAGCAAATATAGACATTAATTTTGCAAAATATTGCTCATGTGGTGCACCTTTTCCTGGTAGATTATGCAGCTGAATAAGATCTTCTCGTGTGATTAATTTGCAGGAGTGTGCGATCTCAGTTCAGGAGCACATTTCTGCAGAATAAGTGCTGCCTAAGCATAAATACAGCAGCTTCGTAGGTTTTCATCTTTCCCAAATCTCAGCCTAATTTTTCTCAGGAATATGCTTTGAGATCAGCCCTGTGTAATGCAGAAGTCCCTCATACATAGTAGCGCTAATGAGAGCCACGCTGGCTCCCACAGGCCTGGCTGTTCTTCAGTGTCCTTCACCCAGCTGAGAACCTGCATTGAAATGCACCACACACAACGAAACGATGCTGGAGTAGTACTTATCGTGACCCTATTTCTCCATCTCTAATTATTACCTTGCGATTTATAATGATAGAAATGGGTCTGTTTAACACATTGAATATATGTGCTTTACAACAAAGTTGGGTGGGGTTGGAGAAGTGGCTTGGTTCAGTTCCCATGTCCAAACCCTGGTGCCCATCTTACAGATTCCCATTTCCAGGGCATATGTGTCCTGGAAACCTTTCCCTCTGACTTTCTTTCAGGATTTTTGTCTCACACGCTGCTGAAATATTATTATCCCCAGTAGGAAGTATTTAACAGGGGATAATTTACCTGCTTATGCCAAACTTAAGGGCTGAATCCCAGTCTTAGGAAGCTGACCTCAACATATTTACAGTTGCACATCATTTAGATCCATGATTGTAGCTACTGTGACTTCTTTACTTAAGTCATTCAATTTCCCTGTATTAAATTTTTTCCTTGTCAAGAACTAGCACTAATTCAAATTATATCTCTTTCCGTTGCTGATTAAGTCATTAACATTTAATACTGATTTGAACATCAAACCCACTAATCAAGCACAAATATTAATGGCTCTGTTTTGTAGCTTTTCCTCTGACCTGGGTTGGGAATGATGCAGATCTGTTGTGGCCGTGGAGTCCTCTGGGTGTGATCTCTGATGGGACAGCATGGCTGGAGGGCACCAGCCTTTCTACCTTTCTTTTCCTGCTCCCCAAGTAACTTCTTGCTGGTGGTAATGTGATTTATTTATGACAATGTCCCATCCACTCCCAGCACGCTCATTTCCATTGCAATTTGTCCATACTTCTCCCTCCTCATTCAGCCATCCTAACCATCTGCTGGTAGACTTCTCTTTGGAAAGGTGGAGGGAGAGCATTGTGGTGGCAGTAAAAATTATGCTGCTGGGTTTAATAGACGAAAGACTGTGTGAATAAATGAATACAATGTAATGGTCCACTAATTAATTAGACTAGATGATCTTGCAGTCCTTTTTATCTATCAACTTCGTGACTCTTTCATATCTAAACAGGACTTTCATTCAGTGGTCTTTTTTTCTTGAGACTGAATATTATTAAACTGGTGCTTTTAGTAGTGTGTCCTAACTTTAATTTTCTTCAATAAGCTTGTCCTCTTTCTGGTAGCATTTTGATGCTGGCAATGTAAAATTTGTTTGTGAACAATGAACCATAACAACCACAACATCACTCTCAAGATGTCCCCCTTCTTGTACAATTTAATGCAGGATGCTCCAGATACGTTGGGCATCTAAAGTAGGTATATTTAGATACCTGAGTATTTCCAAATGTGTCACGAGAGTACAGTAACTTCCATGCATTTTTTTTTTTTACTGTACTAATTACAGTTTTGTAAATGTAGATAGCAACAGCATGAGCCTTGTGGCTCTTCTGATTGATGTCCCCAGCAAGGTGGGATCTTTCCTGGTGCTTTGGTTTGGCATAGAGGCACTGAGCATCTTGCCCAAATTCTGCTTTAACGCCGAAGAGCAACTGCAGCAAGTAATTTAACCTCACGATTCTGGCCACTTTCTATGCCTTCCATTTGGCAATGTGTCTTTCCGAAGGTTACGTGCCCATGCCCAACCTCTTGGATGGGTTTGCTGTTTCTGAACAGGATGAATATGAGTTTACCAGTTGATCTCCATTTTCTCCTGCGTGAGGAAAGCTTATTCAGCACTCGTATGAATGTGCTAGAGGTGATAAGCAAACAATCAATTGACTTCTTTTTTTTTTTTTTTTTTTTGGAAAACTAAACAGAAGGGAATCCAAAACACTTGGAGGCTTGTGAGAATGCCTTCATTGGCTTTTGAGCTACTCTTTTGGCTGATAGCAAAAGTGATGGCCCTAAAGGAAGCTTCTTACAATCTTCCTATGCCTGTGGTAATGGTGATGCAGGATTAGTCGAGAGGAGGGAGAGAGATTAAAGGAGGAGGTATTTTTGAGAACAGTTCCCAAACCAAATATTGCCTGTTACGTTCTGTAATTTATCAGCAAGCTGACAGCCTATTTCAGATTTGGAAAGCTCCCAGCATTTTAAAATAAATCAAGTCAC